TGAAACATACTGGGAACCAGTTCAAACAGGTTGAGACATAATAGGAACCAGTTTAAAGAGGTTGAAACAGACTGGGAACCAATTTGAAGAGGCTCAAAAATACTGGGAACCAGCTTAAAGTGGCTATAACATACTGGGAACCAGTTTAAAGAGGTTGAAACAAACTGGGAACCAATTTGAAGAGGCTCAAACATACTGGGAACCCGCTTAAAGTGGCTATAACACACTGGGAACCAGTTTAATGAGGTTGAAACAAACTGGGAGTTGGTGAAAGGTGAAAACAAACTGGGAGTTGGTGAAGGGTGAAAACATGCTGGGATCATGCTGGTTTTATTGTCTTTATCAAGTTGTGCTAATGACATTGAGTCACGCTTCTTTGTTTCCTTCCTTCCAGCTCTGCTCAGTATTTATCCAGCACAGTAAATTAGTCACTGTGACACAGATCAGCGTTAATCCTCCTCCTCGGTTTCCTCCTTGGATTGCTTCATCTTGCTTTTTAAAGTCAGAAGCAACAGTTAAACTTTCTCTCCTCCTCTCAGGGAGTCTGTTTGAGCTTTATAGGCCTCAGTGCGCCTCCTTGGCCTCCCCTCCCCCTCCAGGTTTTACCTCAGGCCTCACCTGAGTGTGTGTGTTGCTCGGACACACCCAGCGACTCACAATCAGCCAATCGCTGCTCCAAGAAACGTTCACCAAGGAGGTGCACTTCCTGTGTTTCGTGAGAGAAGAATGGCAGAAGGAGAGAGCCGAGAGTTGTGTTCTGTTTTTTGACCAGGGGAGGGTCCGAGCAGGCGACCAGCACCACGGAGGAGGTGGACAAACTCGACAGGCTTCAGTCTGATTTATGAGAGAAGCGTTGTGCAGCAGCAGAGTCTGAGAAGACGAGGCTGAGGGGAAGGAGGAGGGCAAAGATAAGTGTCAATCTGTTCAGACTTGTTTGGGAATTTGAGGAAGGAGGGGAGCCAGAGAGGCAGCGAGAGGCAGCGCAGCAGAGCTCAGCGTAAACATTAACTTCTCTTAGACAGAAAAGGGAAAAAGGCAGATTTACTGAGGAAAAAAAACCAAAAAGTTTCTTATGTCACTGAGACAATGTGAACCACAGCAGGGAGTTTTTCCTGAGTTGTGCAATCTCATGCTTCTGAGCTGATCTGGACCTGGGGAGCCGACAGAGCAGAACTCCCCGGGACTCTACATGCAGGTGAGTCTCTCTTCTACTTTTTAAAAAAACTTCTTTCACATTATTTAAGATGGCCACGCCTGGAACTTTACATCTGCTTCGAGCTGCGGCTGAGATCAGGTTCAGCTGTGGCTTACATGCTACATGCCATGCCTATGTGTCACAGGGCCTCGCTTTCTGTCTGAAAGGCTTTTCTTGGCATGCGGCGCTTTGCAGGTCTGTGCTGCATTCTTACGGAGCCGTAGGAGGGAGTCACCTTTTCTCAGGCCTGATTATTCTGCTGCTAAAGTCAAGCAGCTGCTAGCGGGAAGAGATTCAGTCGGGAAAATGGAAACGCAGGCTGAAAACAGTCAGGAAAATTAACATTCTACCAATTATAATGAGTATTACAAGTAGTGAGAGCCACCTGACTGGGTTTAATTTGACTTGCAAATGAGCTCAGTTCAGCTTTATTTATTCAGCACCGATTTAAAACACATGTCATCTCTGGACATCAGGCTTATATTGCAAATGCAAAATGAAGTTTGGGCTCAACAAACAATGAAAAAATTAACAGTTTGCATCAAGTTCAGACAACTTGTAATGAAGTTATGTTCAATCAAATCACGTTTATTTCTTCAGCACATCAGTTTTGTTCGTGTTGTTTAAAATGTTTTAAAATGTTTTATATTTAACGACCAAAATTCTAAAGCCGAGTTTGTAAGTAGGCAAATTTGAAGTTAAGTAGGAAAGACAGTGAAGAATTTCATTAAGTTACCTCAACACAGAAAATTAAATTTAAATCACACACAATATTAAGTTGACATGAACACATCAACCCAACGGATCAAAACAAACCTAAAAAGTTTATCTAAATCAGTAAAGTGGAATCTTGCAGATTTCTGCTGGCTTGCCCGCGATAATGTCTTGAATCTTACTGTTTTGTCTTGTATGGGTTTTGTTCATGTTATTTAAAATGAATTTTTAAGTTCTACCTTCTTAATTGCTGTAATTCTGAACACAAGTTTGCAAAATGTTAAAATATTTTAAAATCTTGAGAGAACTTCAAATTCTGACCTCAAGGTGAAGAAAAGTTTAGCTGTCGAGTTGATTTCTTTAAATTATGTCAACAAAAGCCGATTTTTGAGTTTAAATTACACAAGATTAAGCTGATAAAACGTTATTATGTCAACGCATCTAAATGAGGCTTTAAAGGTTGATCTAAATCAGTAAGTCGCAGTTTTGATCCTGCACTGATGCATTTCTGCAGATTTGCCCGTGACGATGTCTTGAATCTCTTCTAGGCTTCTCCAAACTATGCTTCAATGGGGACCAAAAGGCCGAGCTGCACCCTCCTCGACTCCAACATGTCCGACCACAAGCTCCAGCCGGGTGGAAGAATCTCCAGAGATCCCAGTCCGAGGCCAGCGATGACCGCCCAGTCCGACCGAGACCGAGAGGAGGTGAGGAGGAGAGAGAACCAAGCTGTGAAGATGAGAGACAAGGCGAGATACCCGGACGTGGAGACGATGGGGAGACACTATGAGAGGGAGAAGCGAAGGGAGGGAGACAAAGAGAGGAGGGACAGGAGGCCGGAGGAGGACAGAGGACGGAACGGAAGACCGGTGTCCAGCGTGGAGATGGAGGCCCAGAGAGACACGAGGAGAGGCCAGAAGAAAGGCGACACATTTCCCAGAGTGAGGAAAGACGACAGGAGGCCGACGGAGGACAGAGTGGAGAGGAGGCCAAGGCGAGGGGAGCAGGAGGAGGAGCAGGGCTGGGACAGAGACGGGACCTGGCGCCGAGATGAGGTCCAACCCAGGGACAGACGCGGTCCGGAGGCCGACATCCGGCCTCCAGACCGGAGACGAGACGTGGAGTTCAGAGTGAGGGATGAGGCCGGGAGACGGGAAAGGGAGGTCAGGGTGAGTTCTCCCCACAGACGGAGGGACAGAGACGTCTACTCGGACAGAAGGGAGAGGAAGGAAGGGAGGAGGGACACGAGGAGCGAAGGAGACAGCGAGGAGAGGGAGACGAGGAGGGAGAGGGCCAAGAGAGACGAGGCAGCCTATCAGAACAGCCGGAGTGAGGGGGATAACAAGAGGGACAGAGGGGGAGGAGGCGGGGAGGACAGGACCAGGAGGAGGACAGACAGGAAGGAGGACAGGTACGA